ARWMRAATTTTGGCCTCTGATGAATATTCAGGCCCGCCTTCACTTAGGGCGGGCACTCGGCTGGCTGGGGGCCTCTGCCCACAAGTGTATGTCTGATAGGGGCCCCGTGAGGGCTCGTTCCTCGCAAAATCTACCGGCCCTCCAATTTTCAGAGCTTCTGAGTTATTCTTCTGAGCGCGAAAAATCACAGAAGTTGGGGTACTTTTTCCATTGGTCCACACATAGTAGACTGGAAAAAATGGAAAACGCAACAAATCGGCACGGCATTTATTTCGTGGTCTTTTTTTTTTTTTTTTTTTTTTTTTTCTGATACTTTTCCTGGAAAGGTCACAATGTAACCTACAGGACCTCAAATTTCAGATTTTTTCGACAATTCTTTCGAGCGGGGAAAATCGTCAAAGTTGGCGCTTGAAAATTGCAAGACTGGACCTGCCTGCGCCTGCCGTTCGCCGCCCCGCCTAAGAACCCTGTCGGTATGGCCAGGAAACTCGAATTTCTGACGTCGGGGGTAGTGGTGGCTTAACACCTCCTCCCTGGTGCTGGGCTGCCTTACCCTGGCCAGGAATATCTCTCCCCAGAGCTTTATTAGTTGCCCCCAGTAGGAGCCCTCCCTCTGCCCCATGGCTGTCTGTTCCGCTGCGCTCCCCTCCCTGCTTGTTCTTGCCCAGTTCTTGTACTGACACCAGAACAGGCCCGACATGTTGGGTGGAGTTTTATAATTAGCCAACCTCCTGCGACGCTCCAGCGCCAGGGGCCTCCATAGGAGCTGGTGGTTCGTGATGAGCTGCAGGGCCTTCAGCTGCAGATATGGATCGATAATACCCGGACCTCCCTTTTCCTTCTTTCTGATCACATAATTCCATACCACATTGGAGATGAAGTGAGGTTTTGATGGGTTTGAACTTTGAAGTCCATAAATACGCCACTGCTTTCCTCCTCAAATCTGCTGTTGTCTGCGACGGCGGGCTCCAGACTGACCCCTTGCACCACAGCATTGAGAAAACAGATGCATTTAGCGCTAAGGAGGTGCAAATTGACGTCCAAGCTCCCATCTTCTTCAGCATCTTGGATAGCAGATCCGGGGCCATGGAATGATGCGGTCCTGCTTCTGTAATCTTGATTCCTAGAAAGCGAAGGGGCAGAGGCCACCAAAAAGAAGAAAGTTGAATAATGAAGAAAAAGACCGCAGACCAGAATTGAAGATAGCATCTTAGAACATCAACGGGCTGGCCTTGGTATTGGAGAGTCCCGACAAATGGAATAACATGACAAACTACTTGAAATGGTACAGAGAACCCCCCCCAGATTTTGTGTGCCTGCAGGAAACTCACCTGACGACATCAGAGGACCACCAGAAAACGATGGCCAAGATCACGGAGAACTTGGGCTGGGTCAAGGAAGCAGGTTGGGCACCGGCCCTTAAACCACATCTTAGACTGCATTCCTTTACAACGGCGAGTTTTGTTAAAATCAGATCGAAAATGGCATCACGGCGACTGGGCTTCCACCACGGACTCCCCACCAAACCAGGAAGTCCTCTCATTCAAGAATTACGAACCTCACCACAACAGTTGGATATGCTGCAACATATACACCCTAGAGGAACCAGGAAACCCAGTAAGTTACATCACTACAAAAAGCAGATCGGAAGGAGCATTGAAAATCAACAACCTGAGAAGAATCAAAATCATAGAAGGAGAGAGAAAAAGAATATATAAACCCAACATTAGCGTTTGCAACCTAGAGATCGATCCAACGGAATGGACATGGAACTCCCCACCTGACTCCTCCTTCATCTCAAACCAAAGTAGGTTAACTGACTACACACCTAAACTAGGCTATCGACTCTTCACCAAAGCTATATCAATATCCAACACATTATGCAATAGGTGGACAAAGGAGGAACCACAACTAGCCAACACCCACTTCAAACTTCCCTGGGCTACAGTCTTCTCCACAAGACCGGTTAACCTGGCCAGCCTGAGATGGTTAATAGCCTTCAGAGCAGTTCCAGTAAACCAATCGTTGGCCAACAGACGCAATCATGAAAACAGAACGAAACAGGACTCCTGGTGCAAGGTATGCAACCTCTCTACTGTTACGATCCTGGTCATTCCCAAAGTGCAAATTCACAATGAAAGACAATGCCACCCAATTGCGAAAGAAATGAAAGCACTTGCAAAGAGAGAGAGACCAAAGAAGGGAGAAAGAAGAAGAAGAAGAAGAAGAAGAAGAAGAAGTACACCAGCAAGACCAATGACAAATCCCCCTTCTCTCTCCACCTTCCTCCTCCTCCTTCACTTCGCCAATCTTGTTCTTCTTTCAATAATCATAATAACAATGAGTGGATGAACCAGAATCAATGTCCGAAATTCCCTCTCACTGCGAACATGTGGCTTCCCCCCCTTCCACCGCTCACATGCCTAGGCTTTGGCGGACTACTGAGGGCTCTGCCCTCTTGTGCAAAGGACAATGCAAAGCAGCTATGTCGCTGCACTCCTGTCCAAAGGACAACCCAAAGCAGCTATGCCGCTGCTGACTAAGCTGCCATGCCTGACTCTGCCTCGAGCTTCCTTGGTGCGGCACTACCCCAACTGGGGCCTTCCAGATGCAGCGCCCAACAAGGTGATGAAGATGGTGTCCACCATAGCCAGGTAGGTACCTCGCCATTCTCCTCCTTCGCCCCATACTTCCTCCTCCTCAGGCTGGGCTGCTCGCCATAGCCAGGCTGAGCGCGCAGCTGCTCGTCACCTCCAGGCAGCACTGCCCAAGTCCAGTGCTTGGCTCCAGCAGCATGTCGCCAATCCTTGCATACCGCAAATGAGGAGGAGCTGCTTGCTCCTCCGGAAGATAAAGCGGCCTACTGGCCTCTTGGGCGGTGACTTCCTAGGCCGAGCGGCCTCCGAGCAACTGGTACCTCCTCCCTTTCGGAGGGAAACATCATTGCAGGCTCTTCTATCATCCGGACAGGCCCTAGACTCGGGCTACTTAGACTGGTACCGGCCTACGTCTAACCTACCGCTACTGGGCCTCTAAAAATGCCAACTTTTGTATTCTTCTGCTCGGCCTCCAGTACCCGACACTTCTACCACTACTTGAGTGGTACCGGCCTACCTGCTACTTGAGTGTTTTTCCCGCTGCTCTAAGTGTCGCGGGCCTACCCCTGCTACTTGAGTGTTTTCCCCGCTGCAACCCTCCAAGTCATGGCCACAGGTAAGTACCGGCCCTGCGGGGCCTTTCAACCAACAAGTACCCAACTGGCCACTCCGATGAAGCTCGGTCCCGAGGCTATCGGCTGACCCCTGGCCAGTATTGTCCACCTGCTGTAGCAGGTAACGCACCTGCTGATGGGTGCAGCTCCTGCGTGTTCCCTACTTGGACGCTTGAACACGATGTGGCTGTTACGGGGTTCCCCATATACTGCAATGTGTCAATGACAACAAAAAAAGCTGGAAAGGCGGCCTGTCCAGCTTCGACAGGTAATTGAATTGGTTCAATTTTGTTGGGCTTAGAATAACTACCCTTTGACAAAAAAAAAAAAAGGACAAAGGAATGGAGAACGGATGATGCAGTTTCGTCTCGTATGCCTTCCCTTTCCGATAGCGGCATAAACCATAGTTCTTTTGAGCAAGCAAACAAGGCTTGAAATTGTTGCGTTCAGTAGGAATTGGAACTCGTAATGCACTCATTATAAGTGAGAGTGACATTTTGCCTTACTTTGAAAGAGAGAACAAGTCATGGCAAGTGTTGCATTCAGTAAGGAATTGAACTCTTGATGCACTTATAGGAGTAACGAGTAGCACACAGCAGGGTACACAAAAGCATCGCCCATTCTCTCCACTTTGAAAGGCCTTCCACGATTCAGGCCCCAAATTCGGGTCACAGGGTCAGAGGCCCTGGCCAAGAAAGGCCGAATTAGTCAGCTTCAGAAAAGTCACAGTCGGGTACCTCAGCAGTCCAGTCCAACAGACACCCAGCAAACAGTCACATCTTAGGGGCAAGAATCACGTTCAAAATGGGAAGTCATGTTGAAGAGTCACATCCCACGAGTAAAAGGGCAGTTCCACAGGCAAGAGTCGTGTCCCAGAGGCAGGAGTCATATGCCAAAATCGAAAAGTCATGACTCAAAGGCCCAAGCAGCAGCAGACCAATGGAAATTCGGGAAGGTTCCAGGCCTTGACATTTGGAAGCAGACAGGCCGTGGGGATGTGGTACCAGAACCCAGTCAGGACCCAACCAGCAGAGGCTGGCACGAGTTGAAGTGCAATCCAAGATTGCTCATTCGCATGAAGTGTGGACGTGCTGGTGCACTTGTGAGCTATTGTGAGGGGCAGAGCGCTGAAGCC